GGTACCACTGAATATAGGTTTAGTATTTATTATTTGAACAAATGATTTTGTATAAGTATAATATATCGCGACCGTTAAGCTTTAGTACCAATAAAATGTCAGGTTCAGATTCATATCCAGAATGTGTTGAAGAATTTAGTATTGAAATTGCAGACTATAATCCAATTGATCCCGGTTATCATTTGCCTTTGCCAGAGACAATGCCAAAGCGTAACAATGGAGTCATTAATATTCAAAATAACGATAATTGGTGTTTTGGATGGTGTGTTTTAAGCGCCTTGCATCCAGTCAAAGTTCACCCCGAAAGAAATCCTCATCGGTTATATGGCCAGTATGTAGCAGAACTCAATATGACAGATATTCCGATTCCAGTACCTGTTTCCACACCAGTTTATCAAAAATTCGAAGAAATTAATCCAGAAATCAGTCTATGTGTATATGAATGGCACAATCAAAATAAGTGTCTAGAATTTCGTTATATAACAGAAAGAAGGGGTGATGAATATAAGCAAGTAAATCTTTTAGTAATAACGGAGGAGGATAGAAGCCATTACTGTATAATCAAAGATTTACATCGGTTGGTATATAATCATAGCAAACATAAAGGAAGAAAATATCTTTGCCGATTTTGTCTTCATGTATTTTCAGATGAAAAAGGATTTAATGAGCATAAAGCAGATACGAAAAAATGTTTAGGGGTAAATAACGCTCCACAATTACCAAAAGTTCCTACGATAGAAGAATGTATAAAAAAATTTAATAATCATAAATGCATGCAACCAAATCCATATCGTATATTTTGGGATCTTGAATGTTTAACAGAACAGTTAACTCCAGAAGAGAATGCGCAATTAACACGTACTGAAAAACTCCAAAGGCATAGACCTTGTGGCTTTTCTTATGTAGTGGTGCGAATGGATAGTTTTGGTAAGTATGAAATAACGAGCCATTATTTGTATAGAGGACCAAATGCTTTAGAAAAATTTGTCGACAAGCTTGAAGAAGAGCTTGCAGAAATTCAAGCCGATTTATCATCACCTGCAGAAATAATTATGGAACCGGGAGACCATACAGCATTTAATGAGGCAATAGGATGTCATATATGTGAGAAGCCTTTTATTGAGCCGGCACCAGAAATTTTGCAACAATTCGAAGAAGCAAAACAACAATTGTTAGAATGTAAAGAATGGGAGGCCCATATGAAAAAAGATCATCCCAAAAAGAAAGACGTGCAGAAGAAATATCAACAAGCGTTAAATAAACTTAACCATAAAGTCAGAGATCATTGTCACATTAGTGGTAAGTACAGAGGAGCTGCTCATGATGCATGCAATAAAAAGTTACAGGTTGGCGCATTTAAAACTAAAATACCACTCATTTGTCATAATTTTCGAGGATACGATTCGCATCTACTCATAGAAGTCGTTGGTAGATTTACAGCGGATAAGTTAAAGTGTATTCCAGAAAATATAGGTAAGTATAAGGCCATGGATGTAGGGCAATTCCGATTTCTTGATAGCTTCCAACATATGGCAATGGGTCTTGATAAACTTGTTGAAAGTTTTGGTGGAAAGCTCGAAAAACTTCCTTTATCAGTCAAGCACTTTACTGAAAAGGGGTACTCGTTAGATCAAATCAATTTATTAAAACGAAAAGGCGTATTTCCTTATGATTGGACAAACTCATGGGACAAATTCGAAAGAACAAGTCTTCCACGCCGAAAAGACTTCTATTCTATACTTAACCAGCAAAATATTAGCAAGACAGATTATGAGCATGCGCAAAAAATATGGAAGCAATTTGGAATGACAAATTTCGGTGAATACCATGATCTTTATCTTGAATGCGATGTACTTTTGCTTGCAGACGTTTTTATGAATTATACTATTATGTGCTTACAAGATGATGGCTTGGATCCTTCCCATTACGTTTCAGCACCAGGTATGTTTAACGATTCACTGTACAAAAGTAGCAAAGTCGAGATTAAATTAATGTCGGATATGGACGAATATTTAACGGTTGAAAACGGAATTCGTGGAGGCATGACAATGGCAAGCCATCGATATGCCAAGGCAAATAACGAGAAATGTCCTGATTACGACTCTAGTAGACCGAAATCCTGGATTATGTATGAAGATATGAATGCTTTATACTCAGGAGCCATGACACAATACTTGCCTACGGAAATTTTGGGTAAGGTAAGTCCAGAGGAAATACCTGACATTCAAAGCATTGCTCCTGATGCGGAAATAGGATATGCGCCAGAGATCGATTTAGAAGTTCCAGCCCATTTGCATGACTTCTTTGAGGATTATCCGTTAGCTCCAGAGAAACAAATAGTACCCGAAAACTGGCTTAGTTTGTATAATGAAAGGTTAGTACGCGATAAAGAGGTTGGAGGAGGGAAATACGTATCAGGCGAAAAGTTACTTCAAACACTTTTACCGAAGAAAAATTATGTAGTTCATTATCGAGCACTCCAGCTGTACATGAAATATGGATTAAAAATTACAAAAATTCATGGCGCATTAAAGTTTAGACAGTCTCCATGGATGAGGGCATATATTGAGGAAAATATTCGCAAACGCAAGATAGCTAAAGCCAATAAGGATGAATTTGGCGTAATGTATTACAAGCTAAAAAATAATTCCGTATTTGGGAAACAAATGGAGAACGTTCGCAAACACATGAGAGTGGAAATACTTAGATCCGATCAAGACAAAAAACTAACGCGCCTCGTTAGTTCACCTCTATTTGTAGGTTTCAAAGCATTCGAGGGTGGAATTACAGCTGTCCACATGTTAAAAAGTACAATCACTCTGAATAAGCCGATATTTGTGGGACAAGCGATTCTTGATATTAGCAAGGCTATGATGTATAATTTCTGGTATGGATATATAAAACCTCGATATGAAGACAAGGCCCGCCTACTTTATACCGACACAGATTCACTAATTATGTGGATCGAAACTGAAGACATTTACAAAGACCGAGCGGAAAGACCAGATATTTTCGATCTTGACTATTCTGGGGATTTATTCTTAATGAAGGATGAAACAAAGGGAGATCCCATAGGTGAGGCAGTATGTTTGAAACCGAAAATGTACTCAGTTCTCCCTTCTGGTCACAATCCTGTTACGCCAAAAACAGAGTCTGATTTTGAGAAAGACGAGTTTAAAAGACATGGCATGCAGAAGGCTAAGGGTGTCAAAAAATGCGTAGTCAAGAGAGAGCTTCGCCATAACAAATTTGTCGAATGTCTTAGGAATCGAAAAGTTACCAGGCATGATATGTATGGCCTCCGCAGTTATAATCACCAAATCTACTTAGAACGGGTAAATAAAATCGGACTAAATCCATTTGACAATAAGCGCTGGATTTTATTAGATGGAATTCGATCTCTTCCATACGGACATTGGCGAATAAAGGCTTACCAGCATTATATAGATTCCGGGATGTCACCAGAGATAGCGGAAGAAAGAGCTATGACAGTATGTTTAAATGATTTTATGTAACGACCTAAAATAATCCCGATATTCTAACAATCAACGCATCTGTGACAGAATTTATCATATCAAGAACAATGATGAGAGACCAAGTTCGTGGAAAGAATGAATAGGGAATATCTTACCTACTTTAGCGGTACCGCAGAAAAATGACCTTATCACCCGAACAAAAAAATAGTTCAACATCGAAGGGGGTATAATAGAGGTGTAGTGACATGATATATATGGCCTCCGCAGTTACACTCGATGCTTGCCTCTTCGTGATTAGTAACGCTTTATGCGAGGCTTTGTCGATAATTTATATAATTTATTTTTATACTAATTGATGCGCGGTCAAGATTGCCTGTAGACCCATACATTTCAGTGGTACCACAGGCGCAGTTACTAATAACATACAGTATATTGTGATTTATTATCTCGAGACATAAGGACCAATGCCATACCATCTCAATTATTTGATTTCTTACGTATGACGTTCGCATGATTCCCGTGATATTTATGCACTTAAATCAGTAGTTATGGAAAGTCAAGAACATTGTAGAACTTTTGACGAATTCGTAATTTCGTGTAACTATAGAATACAAATCGACGATCGCAGGGAGAATGGGGGATGAAAATGGGAATGTAAGGAGTTGATTATAATCGACATAAAGTTTTGCTAAATTTACGTCTAAATCTATGTCAAGGATTTGCACATACGCAAATCAAAAGTCTTCAGATCAAATGACACGTTCTGAGTGGTACCGCAGTAAAAATAGCGCTATGAAATTTCTTAGCGGAGCTGGCAAAGATATAACCCTTTAGGGTCACCCCGTTGCGGCGCCGCAGTCAAGAAGTGGTTAGGACAAAATATAGGATAAATTGTAGACCAGATCTTGACACTGGAAATATAAAAAGGACAATAGGTCAGAGGTAAATCCTTCTTGCGTACTCGTCTTCCATAAGCAGAGCAGTGCACTTAACATTCAAAAAAAATCAAAGAAATTACTACCAAAAAAATGCACAATCTATATTTACCTTACATTATTCTATCCGCACTTTTCATTGCCTTGGTGATTCTCTGCCAAGATAACTTGAAATTAGAAACGATCAAAAACGTTATCATTAACGACGCAACTCAGTCTTTTATCTTGGCGGGAGTAATCGTTTACTTGCACAAATTTCAATCAATGCTCCGTGGTTACACCCAAGCTGAGTCGCGAAAAATCTCTGAACTTGGAAAGAACGTATTGGTTCTTAGTGATATCGTTAACACGATGCGCGAAATGTCTCAAGGTATGACTAATATCTCTGCGGAACAGTGACATCTATGTGTTTGTGACACGTTATTTTACTGTCTATTAGTCGTATGCTTATTAATTCTGTACTTATTTTTCATTAATTAGTAAATTCTAAAAAAAATCCAGATGCAAAAGTATCTTTGCTTCGGGAGACCGAAAGCCTTATAAACACAAGACAAAATACCGAATATTCTGATGACGTTGAGACGCTCTGGGTCAACTACAAGATCCTCATTAATCAAAAAGTAAAGAAGGAGAATCGATCTCTTACTCAAACTTTTAAAGTATTGGGTAAGAAGATTAAGTTAAGCTCTGCTACGTTGGCTGGTTTCTATCGCCACCAAACGAATCCACAAAGATCTACGTTGGATAAGATAAAGAAATGGGTTGATGAAGAGGGAGAAAATAGTAATTTAAGAAAACAAGAATAGTAGCGGAAAGGAACTGCCATGTTTATGGTCTAGGGGCCGGCATATTCCTCCCTTTAAACGTCCGCTACTCTGTTGATTTACTTTAGCTGGTCATATCTATCACATTTTCTTAGATATGGTATCACATCATTGTAAAGTGATGCTACTGATATTTTGAGCAATAACGACATACTTCTTCATAATTAAAGATTGCTTTAGTTTTACCTGTGCACCTGTTGACGACTATTATTAACCCCCTATCAGTAATATGATCGTATTTGTCTCTATTACAAAACAGTAAGTACTGCTTCGGGTTTTCAGTAAATTTACCCTGCATACAACGTCGACTGTTTTTCGATTTGTTTTTGCGAACCATTTGGTTATATACGGAAAACGCAAATGATCAATTAGTATTTTTTTCTGCCGTACGCCCTAGTCTCATTACGTGATACCACACACAAAATTGCGAGTGGTGTTTCCCAGAATGCTATAGATTATGTTTAGTCGAACTTTCACATTCGTAAGATTATGGTATTTGTGATCACGTGATGATGTGATATCATATCACGATCTAGCGTGTGATTTCTACTTATTATTATTATTATACGGATAAACTAAAATTGAGGCCCGAGGGGGCGAGTCTAAAAAGACTCATCGCATATTCATATAGTATACGTTGATGCGGTATCCCAAAATAGTAGGTCTGTCATACGAGGCCGTACGGCAGAAAAATACAGATGTTAAACAATTTTATGTAAAACTTCTGTGCTGTACACTTCAGTATGATCTAAAAATAATCCCGATATTCTCACGATAAATGTTTCTGGGACAGAATTTATCGTCTCAAGATCGTTGATAAGAGCCCAAGTTCAGCCATACCCCAATCGTATGGCAGCCGGGTGGCGTATAGAATGAAAATAAGTTTATTATTGTCCGAGGATCCAAAGGATCCAAGCTTTGCTTCTTCGACATAATAGTGCAGAAATATATCAATATCAAACCGGTAACGTATAAAATTTAAATAAGTTTACTATTATTTTTTCCCCAATATATTATCACTCTGTGCGTCATGAACAACCAATCACCATCACAACAGACTCGCGTCCGTAAATTTCTCAGACCGGATGCCACCCCATTGACACCTGAAGCTATTGAAGAAATCAGAGCTCGCGGGAGCGAGTTTTGCTCCGCAAAAACGCACCAGAAAATATCCCAAATGCATGTCGTGTGATGTGCAAAAAGTACCATATAGGTACGAAGCGGTATAATGATATAATTAAAAATCGAATGCCTTCTGAACCAACTGAGAAGTGGCGTCGTATTATGGACTCAGTGATATCACCACAGAGTGAGAATTTTTCCAAAATAAATTCGCTTATTCCATATTTAAAAACGGTAAAAAAATAAGCGCTACTTCTGTTATACAATCAAACATAGAGTAGCATGCAAACAATGGAAGTTCGTTTTCATGACTCGAAGAGTCGCCCCCTAAAGGGCCTAATCTGTTTTTTCTTTAGCAACAATTTTTTTAATGGGTTTTTGTGGGGCAATAATTTTTTCAATGGGTTTTTGTGGGCTATACGGTAGGGCAAGAAAATTTATGCATGGCTTTTTTCGTAAAAAATGTTGTCTGAGATTTGAAGGATAACGGAATCCCTTACCACAATGTTCACAGATTCTATCAGGCTGTGGTACCACTCTGCACTCATTGCTGCGATACCGCGGTCGTACAGCCCGAACGGTGTTCAAACTTACTTTTTTTTTAATTCTATAGTTGGAGTTTTATGGACAGAGATCGGTACAAAAGTATTACCAACTCGGAACTCGCGCTTTTCATAGTCTTTTTTAGCTCCAGCACGATCAAGCCAATCAGTTCCTAGAATTAAGGCATACTTATCATAATCAACGACTATTAAATCGTGCATCATTGTAAAATCAGTATCCCGAGACAATGCTTTATTGCTGAATGTAATTGGAACATTATAGCACAAACCGATTGCTTTAGTATCTGTGGACACTCCTTCAAGGGCTGGTGGGTTTTTTTTGTCTATTTTTAACCCAAGCCGTTAAGCTAATCCCTTGAATATAAAAGAGGATTGAGCACCACCATCCAATACCGTTTTGGGGATAATAACGTTATTTATTCTACATTCAGCAGTTGTTAAATCATTTGCAGCCGTACGACCTCGATAGGGGAGCAAATCTTTGAGACTTTGGCTTACCAAATTAATATCCATAGACTCATCCGAGATTATTTCTGGCTCTGAAGGAGAAGCGGAGCTTTGAGACTTCGTCTCTCCTTCGCTCTGCAGGTTTTTTGGCCGTACAGTTGCCCCTTCCTGCGGTACCGCTCTCTCACTTTCAGAATACAACAACTTTTTAAACTACCGGAGTACATTACCAAGCTCTTCCTGGAAAATTTTGCGAATGTGTAAATCATCTAAGCCTACTTTTTTTTTATAAGATTAATGGCTACTTCTTTACTGTCTTCATTATCAGATTCTGAGACTTCTTCAACTATTTCAACTATTTCTTCGTCAGAATTTTCTGTACCATATGGTGCTGATGGTTCGAATATTTCTTCGTAAACTACTTCTTCATTGGAATTTTCTGTGCCATATGATGTAGATGGCGCATAAGTCACCAAATTAACACGTCTTTTACCCTTAGTATTTTTCTTCTTCCTAATAATTCTTTTTCTAACAGGGTTTCTACGAGATGCATTCACTATTTTTTGATGGTTACACGGGCTGTACGACTGGGGTGATATAGATTGTACTTGGGGTAAATTACCTGTCTTTCTGCCAGTAATTTTATTCGCAATATTAGTGATTGCCAAATCAATTTCCATAGGGTCATCTGGCCGGTTATTTTCTAACAAAATACCTCTTTCAGCGTAATTTTTTAATTCCTGTAATGCTTGGGCTTTTTCAGTCAAATGACGAGGTTTGGGAGGCGGAGGCGGAGGTGGAACTGGAATAAATTCTGGGGAATTTCCAATAAAGTATTGGAAATATCTTTCCAAATTTTCGTCCTTTACTCTTCTGAATGTGCCAGGAGGTTGTGCGCCCCATCTCTGTGGTAGATTATTTTGTTCGACTTGTGGGTGGTGATTATTCTCAATGGGTGGCTGGTGATTTACCTGAGGAACATTCGCAATTGGTAGCTGGGGGTTTACGATTGGTGGTGGTACCACTGGCTGAGGGTTGTATGCAATTGGTGGTTGTGGGTTGTTCGGATGTGTAATAGGCATTGAAACTATGCCACCGTTTCCGTAATCAAATGAAGTTGGCCTACGCACTAGCCACTTATTTTTTAACTCTGTAAAATATTCATCTATACCAGCAATGTTTACGTTCTCCATTCGATAGAAAAGATCATTCGGTAAATGTCCTCTAAGAAATGTTAAAGCATTAGCGTCATTATTGGGATAACCTAATAATAATGGACGAACCCTTGCCTCATATGTTTCTGGTGTATCAAATGGCGTAAATCTTTCCTGAGATAATCTTTGTATAGCTGACTGCTGCGTACCCACCATTTCTTGTTGATATTTAGCTCTAAGCCAAGCTCTGAACCGATCGGGAGTATTAATATCATTTCCATTGTGTTGTTGCGGAATTGGAAGATATTTTCCTGCCATTTTTGACTTATAAATGTCAGCCTTGTGTGCGTCCGTGAATGTGTTTGCATTTCCATCATTGGCATCAGCAATCATTGTGTTTGCATAACCAATCGATCTTTCGATTTTATTACAATAATCGTCTGGTGGCTCTTGCCCTACATATGGGGGAATTTGATTAAGAGCTGTTTGTATAGTTAGATAAATCTGTTGTCTAGCAGCGGCGGCCATGTTTGGATCTAGTGGCGGTATATTATTTTGTAAATCTAAAATTCTCTGATTTAAAAAATTAATTCGGTCTTCCATCTCCAAATTAGCATCACGAACTAATTTTGATCTCAATTTCCATTTTGTATATTTAGCGTGTTTATATCTTGTTCTATTTTTCCATTTTGTATATTTTCCGTATAGAATAGCGCGCGGTTGGGCTTTATTTTTGTATTTATTACAAAGAATTTTGAGAGCGAAAATTTCAGATAATAACCGGGTTTTATTTTTTTCACAATTTACTTTCCAGAAAATGTGCATTAACTTTTCGCTTCTATAATCTTTTTCACACGTGCGCCACGCATCCCGTATATTTTCATTGGTTCTCCACAATCCCCCATTGTCAAGAGTGGCTTTATTCGCTCTTTCTATTTCTTGTGCCAGCCGTTGATTTAGGTTGTAATTCGTATTTTGATGGTGATGAATTGTAGAGCTAGTAGTATTACGCAACTCCCGTAATTGTCTTTCTAAATTGCGTATTGCATCTTGGGATTGATTATAATGGTCAGTGATTGCATTCAACGCTCGTCTAATTGTGTTTGCTCCAGTTAATGTAGGAAAGTGCTGTAAATTTTCCCTGATCGATTGGCATAGACTTTCAAAGTTATTAAGAGTATTATCATGGATTCTCGGTGAGCCATATGGCGAAGCCATTTCTATTTGATTAGGCAATATTTTTTTACGGTATGCTAATTCACTGATTCTTGCCTTAAGTCTTAAAATATCATCCTCATACCCGGCTATTTGATTATTTTTGCTATCAATAACAGTATCGTTCGCCTTGATTTCTCTGAGATACGATCTTAATTGTTTGCGTAAATCTGATATTTGGATTTTTAAATCATCGATTTCATTCTCCTGATCGGTGATTGTAATACTCCGGCGAATTAACTCTCCCTCACATTTTTCTAAATCCCGTATAAGCTGACGGATTTTTTTCTCATTACTACGATTTATATCTACCTCACGATTTAATTCCTCCCGTAATTCGATATTTGATTGTGCAAGTTGCACGAATGCCGGATCTAGCCGTACAGCGCGGTACCGCAGCGAATTATTTTTTTCCATTTTATATTTTGAAATAAAAAAAATGACTGGATCGCAACACGAGGATCCCGTATCTACCTCTAATCCAGTAATTTATATTGATCCTAAAGAAGAAATTCGAATCATCTGTCGTATTCTATATTATAGACCTCATGGTTATTATCGAACTGCTGATAAATTGCGCGATGCTTGTAGAAAAGCCGGAAATAACTTTTCATTGGCCGATGTGAGAGAATGGTTAGATAAACAGGCGCTACATCAGATACATAAACCCCGCCCGAAATTTATTCAGTATGCATCTTTCAATGGAATACAGAGGTTGAATCAAATGCATCAGTCTGACACCACTCCTATGCCTCATGATAAGGTTGGTAAACGGGTTTACAAATATAGAGGCATGATAAAAGATGTGTCGACCAGATATCGCAAGAGTTTTGGTTTGACAGATAAAACGTCAGCTCAAATGTCTAAGGCTATTAAGAAAATTTATAATGATTCCTCAAATCCTCTTTCTTGGCCTGAAAACTTTAGAGTAGATAAGGGAACGGAGTATATGGGGGAGTGCAGAGAAATGTTACTCCGACGTGGTGTAAAAATTTCGTATGCTAAAAGCAAGCGGGGTGTTGCTATTGCCGAACACGATCATCAAGAATATGAAAAACAAGCTTTTAGACGACAAGACGCAGTCGATTTTCTTTTACCATTATCTGAAAGATGCCGTTCTTGGTTTGAATCACTTGACATTGATGACGATGTTTATAATAACTCTGTTACCAGTCAAATAGGTATGACGCCTAATGAGGCAGTAAAAAAATCATTAAACGGCGAAAAAATATTTGCTAAACCCTCCGTAAAGCATAGGCGACCCGTGGGATATAATGAGTCCCTTTTACCAACCCATATAGAAGTTCGCCATCTTCTAGAAACAGGAGAATTGGAGGGTAATACTTTCGGAAAAAGAAGATCAACCGATTGTAACTGGAGTCCCGAGGTTTTCACAATTGAATCATATTTGATAAAAAATAATCAACCGATTCTCTATAAACTTTTCAATGGTCCAGAACGATTTTTTGTTAGAGAAGAACTTCAGATTGTCCCCAAAGATACTGAGTTACCACCTCAATATATTCTCAAGCATTAGACTTACCTCCTCTCTCCTCCACTTGATATATAATTTGTTCGAAAGCATCACTTAAATAATTATCAATTTCTGATCGATTATATACTATAATTTGCTTATTTCGTAACCAATCGATTTTCGAACTCTTTTGTGCCGTACGGCTAGGAGTGGAGTCGTCCTCATTCTGCGAGTCTTTATTTCCAGGTTTGTCACCCATAATGAACTTGGTAAGTGAGCACAGTGTAAACTTAAATTGGCCACGTTTGTCGAATTCTTTTTCCAGCAACTCTCGGAAAGATTTTCTTTGACTTTCCAGCATCTTTCTTACATCACTTCCATTATCCGGATGATATCTAGGGACACTTGCATTGTATACTGCTATAGCTCGTCTTTTAAGTGCAGGGCCTAATTCTTTCTCACGAAATACTAAATTTTTTTCATAATCTCCTGTAATATTAGCCAATCGTTGAAATTCTTCATTAAATAAATTTTCTTTAATAATTGGTTTGCACGGATTTTTTCGCCTACGATGTTTACGGAGTCTTTGAGGCGTTGACAATGATTTGCCGCAACGTTCACAAGTAGTATTTTTCTTTTCTTTTCCAGCCATTTGTACTAACGGTCGCGATATATTATACTTATACAAAATCATTTGTTCAAATAATAAATACTAAACCTATATTCAGTGGTACC